TCCTCCCTGACCTTGGCCTACTTTAGGGGGACCATAAAATCTACTCAACATGGATACTGTAATTGGACAAAGGATGAGAGAGGAATCCTGGGTCCAGGTCACTTTCACTTAAGGCGTATGTTTTCCGTTGTCAATGCGGGGTAAGAGCTTACATGGGCATGGCTCCTGTAGAATGGGCTGGGAAGGAGGAAGGCGAGGCAGTTTTACCTGTATTTCTTTTGTGGTTGTTGACACCCACGAGAGGGAGGCAAAGAAGTTGGCATCACTGAAGTAATAGCATATAAGCGGCATATTCTGAGGATGGCGAGACTCTTTGTACAATATCTGGGACCGGTCACTCAGCACAATGACCTCACTCTTTGGGTCATCTACAGTTTGCTGGGGAGAGACATAGCAGAAACTAAGACCAGGACACACGTACACTAATCGTAGTCTCACTCAAGTCACAATCGAAACAGTTCCCAAAGTCATGCCACAGTCCCAAGGACCACTTCTGTTACACCCACACATGCACAGCTTATCACCTGTGGGACACCTACACTTCACAAGCACATAACAAAACCCCAACACAAGAGAGAACCAAACCCCCACGGGGCCTCTATGGGCAAATTTTATAGTACAAGCACAGGGGAAAATTAACATTCTTCCCAACATGAAGTGATATATACCTGTCCCCTAACATTCTCCCTTCTGTCTAAAAGGTACATATGTCACAGAAGACACAGTTAACAGATTACTCAGGCAAATGTACTGCTACAGACCCACATGTAATGTAACAGGGTGTCCCAACAGTCAGTGCAGCTTTAAGTTATTAAAGTTTAAAACTGCACTAAGTAAGACTTCTAGGATACCCTACCTGGCCCTGAAATTTGACAGAGGAAAATGACATATATACAGTATATATGATCCCACAGTGACAGCATGTGCTATGCAATGTGCACCTGGGATCCTTTTACACAGCCAACCATAGCAAAACTGAGCTTGGCAGATGTTCTCTCCGATGCCTTCTCCCTTCTCTTGCAGAAAAATCTCTCTTCCCGGAGGGTTGGTTCCTCTTACAGTGCTTCTGAGTGTTCACATTTCACTATCAAAATGTCCTTGCAACAGGTCCCTAGGCTCATTTGGAAATTGATGGCCCACTTCCTCCTAAGGTGACAGTTGTCTTTACGGTCTCCCCTGCCTTCTTCGTGCTTCCATAGAAAAATCTATGCTCCCTGAAGTGCTCATAACTATTAAGATAGATAGAGACCAATAACATGTTTATGTCCTACATATACTTTACCTTGATTTGATATATATCATTTATGAGGTATTTAAAATCCTTCCACAGGGGAATGAGTCTGGGGGAAGACATCACCTTGATTATCACCTGGTCCTCCTCAGGACCGTTGCTTAAAAACCTGTGGGAATCCAAAAGATGCCGGCTTAGCCACTACTACTTTTTGAGGAGCTAGGAATCAGAAGGCAAGACCCATGAACTCAGGTTTAATAGGACACTTTTTGACTGTCAGGAACTATGCATAAGACATATCTCATTTAATCCTCACTCCAGCCCAGTGAGGTAGATTTTATAGATGAGAAAGCTGAGGCTCGGTGAGGGTAAATGAAGGAGTTGGGGATTGAATTTTAGCTAGCATCACCCAGTGAGATATTATGGGTGAGGGAAGCAGAGAAACCTAGAGAGGGGCTGGAAGCGGATACCATCCCAGGCAAGTAACAGTTCTTTGCTGATGGTAGTGTGTCAAGAGAGCATTCTTTGAGGACTGGGAGTTCCCAGAGTTGCTGGAGGACGGGTAGGTCTTAAAGCACAGAACCCTAGGTCCTGCCCTAGACCGACTGAAGCAGGCCCATGGAGGTGGGACCCAGGGACCTTGGCTTGTAACCAGGCCCCTCCCGGTGGTTCTATGGACGTTCAGGTCTGACTACTGAAAGAGCCAATTGAGATGTGGGGCCCCCAGGGTTAAGGGTCAGGCCACCTAGCACAGCTGGAGAAAAGGGCCCTGCCATTTGGCCTTGTTCATCATCCTCTTCCACAATCTCGTCTTTGGCCCTCATGAGGACAAACCTCAGCTTTTCCTGGTTGGACCGAGAACAAACCCTACTCTGAGAACAAGCCCCCTCTGCCAGTCTGTCATTACTGGTTTGACGATGGGCTCGTTTTCCTCATTTGTAAAATGAAAATGCCAGTGTTGCTTACTTCACAGGATTGTTCAAAGATCAAATAAAAATTCCTGTGAATACTTTTTTAAGTATACCCTGAAGCAACAAACAATTACGATTGCTGTTTTTAGGCTGGTTTGGTTCTCAGACAAGTATTTGTTTCCTTCTAACCCATACTTTATACTTTTCTGTTGCTCTGGAAACATGACAGCTAAGTTTATAGTCTGGCCAGCAGAGGGCAATGGAGGCCACCGTTGTGCCTGCCAGATGAAGGAAAGCTGTGAACTTTGTTTCAAGTGGTTCCCCAAAATGAGATTCCCTAGGCCAGCAGCAGTGTCATCACCTGAGAACTTGTTAGAAATGCAAATTATCGGGCCCAACCCAGACCTACGGAATTGGAAACTCTGAGGGTAGGGCCTCAAATTCTGATTTTCAACAAGCTCTCCAGCTGATCTTACTGCACAGTAAAGCCTGAGAACCACCAGTCTGGAAAGCTATTAGAGTTCCAGATCGGCTTGTTCTGGGATCCTGGGGGAAAGTCAGCAGAACCTGCCCTATGGTATGGCTAAACCTAGGCCTTGTGTTGCCACAGAGACTTGATGGCTGGATTTGGGGGGAAGCAGCAGGCAAAAAGTACCATCTCACATGTAGAGTGAGTTAGAGCCTACAAAACAGCTTTCACATCCATAGCCTCATTAGTTCTTGAAAGACTTCTGAGAGGCAGATACCATCTCCATTATTCATACAAGGAATGTGAATTCAGAGAGGAAAAGGGATGTGTTCATGGCTACACAGGGCAGATTCAAGACTAAGATCCAAGCACAGTTCAAGGTTCTTCTCCATATCAGAATCAGAAAGGAGTTCTGCCAGGTGATGCCAAGGAAACTCTCTGATCTACAAACCCACTAATGGGAACAGGGGACTGGCTGTCGGACTTCAGCGTCCCCTCTGTCTCTTTCCACTCTTCCCAAGACTGCATGCTGCCCTCCTGCCATATCTTTTTCTGTTCTGTCCTCCTGTAACTCTGCATTTACTGCCACTTTGGACCACCTTTCGGGAGCGAGTGGGGCAGGCCCCATGGCTCAGATTTACACCACTGGCTCCTTGAGACCCCAGAGCTGCTGGGAGAGTCATCATTACTAACAAATTTGCAATCATTGCCATCGGTTTCCATTGTTCCTAATATCTTCTCTGGGTCCAACTTCTCTTGACCAACCTACAAAAAGCAAGCAGTTTGGGACCCTTTGGGGGCACATTCCTTGGGGGTGAGTGACAAAAAAAGGCCTTCAAACCCCAAATCTCTGTGTTTTGCTTTTGCCACTCCCACCCCAGGTACCAGCTTCCTGGTCACCCTCAGAGGAAACCTCTTTCCTAAAATGCCCCCATTTGATTCCCTAATCCCATTACCTGTCCTTAAAAGCAGATCTAGAGTGAGCTCCAGATGCCTTAATCTCAATGGTGCAGACTTTTTTACTCTCTTGATAACCTAAAGATGATCTAGTGGGACAACTCAAGCCCTCCATCCAAGTCGGGGCAGGGTCAGTATTCAGGGCTGAGATGTGGTATGTCCTGCTGGCTGGAAATGGACCAGGTTCGTGACTGAGCATTGACACTGGCATTACACCCTTCTTCTTAGCTGCCATCCACTCCAGTATACTTTGTCAGTGGTGGCAGGACGCAAGGCCAGCATCCCATGAGCCCTGCCCTTGTAACAGAAATTGGCTTTAGGGGACACTGCATTCCATGACACTATTGGACTGCTGGGCTCTTTTTGGGTCACTAACTAGCTCTGTATACTCTTTTATAGGAGTGTGAGGGCATACAGTTCTTGCCCAAAAGAGCTTACAGTTCTGCAGGGAAGGCAGACATTAAAGAATAGTCATAAAATTGATTACAGTGGGAAATTCTGGGGATGGGTTATATTATTCTTTGAACCTTTCTGCAACTTTTAATTTTCTCAAAACATTAAATTATGCTAGTGATCCAGTTTTAAGAAGGAAAAGAACGAAGTGCTGTGATGTGTGACCCATACTTTGAGGTAGGGCACTGCATAGATCCTACAGCCTTGCAGGTGGCTCTCCTGTTTGGGGACAGAGGTGCAGGAAGCCCAGCCAGCATTAAAATGGCTTAATTAGTTGACTGGAAAGTCAGAGGGGCTGTAAAGCCAGAGGGCAATGTTGGCTTTCTTACTTATACTTTACTGAATGACTTTACAGATAAGGATCCCAAGTCTGTCCCCAGGGCCTGGGAATGCTACTCTGGCCTTATAGGTGACTTCATAGCTCGGGCTGGGGCTGGAATGTACTCAACTATATTTATGGAGACAAATAATTTTCTAGGCTGACAAATACACATTATCAGTTACCCAGGATTAATGATACTATCTAGAACTGATGAGGTTGTAAAGTGGTAGGCAGGCATTTTACACGTTTTGTTTAATTCTTACAATGACCCTATGACTTAACCATCATCCTCCATTTAATTCAACAACTGTTTAAAGTGAACATGGTAAAAATATTCAAAACTATTAAGGAGCATTTAATGAAAAGAAAGTCACCTTTTCATACCTGATTACCCATCCTTTTGTTTCCCTGTCACAAAGGTATCACTGGTTGTATCTTTATATGGTTTTCTGTACGTACACAAGCATATAGGTAAAAATAATTTTTCTTATACAAATGGCAGTATGCTTTATACACTGTTCCATACCTTTTTCTCAACTTCTTAGAAATTAACTCATATTAATACGTATTGCTTTCATTTTTCAAGTTGCCAGTTGCATGGTTTCCACTGTGTGACCGAAGTATCATTTATTTTTTCCAAACTTCTATTAATGGACATGGGCAATTTCCAACATTTTGCTATGACGACCCATGCTAAAAATGAATATCTTTGTTAATGCCTCAGAGTTTTAATTTTATTTAATTTTAATTAACTTAAATTTCAAATTCAAAGCAATGTAAATCTTTTTTCATTAAACACAACTTATTTTGGATGCACCGGGTTAAATAAATTATTAAAATTAATTGCACGTTTCAACTTTCTAACGTAAAATTTTAAATTGCGTATGTGACTTGCAGTATATATTAGAATAGCACAGATTTAGATCGTCACTGTCCTGTGGTGGTCTGATACTCACTCTAGACTTAGCTCCTTGAGGGTGGGAACCACACAGTGGCATGAAGTTGGTGCTTAATATATTTTTGTTCAATGAATGAGCAAATGAATGACTCCTGCCCTCTCCCAGGAAGAAATATATGTTTCCCAGCTTCAAGTCCTACTGATCGTTTTCTGGGAAGGAAGGATGAGGTGGGAAAGGTACTGGGTTTACTTGACCTAGAGGTCCTTGCAGTTTCAGCCAACTCCTTCTGGAACCCCTAGGTAGGAGGAGTAGCAACATACATTTTTTTTTTTTTTTAAAGGGTTAGACCTTGATTATGGCAGCAGGTGAACTAAATTTGGAAGAATTTCCCAGGCCTAGGTACTCATTAATTTCCTCAGAATATGATCAACGAATGAATAACAGGGGCCCCAGGACAGCCCTCTGGATGGTGGTCCTGAGGCTCCCCTCGAAAGCAAAGCTCTGGAGCTGCCTAGGCTGAGTAGTGGCGACCACACCCGAGCCCCTACACATTCGGGCGCCCCGGCTCTTCGCGTTGGCTTGAAGGAGACCGTGTCCGCATCTTCAAGGCCGGGCCGCGCCTATTACCTGCGACGAGAAGACTCTCAACAAGGAACGGGTACGGCGTGTACGGCTGCACCCTAGAGCTCCTATGTGAAAGGCCAGACCTAGAAGGAGCGCTTGAGTAGCGACCTTGGGGGGAATGCTGCGGGAGGACTCCACCGACACATCGGTTAGCCCCACAACCACGCGCCCGGCGGACTGACCCAGGCGAGGGGAGTGAGCGCGCGTGCGCACTGGCGCGCGGCCGGCAGGAAAAAGCCCAGCGCGAGACCGCGCGCGCGTTCGAAAAGAAAAAAAGTCCTCCCCGCGGGGCCCGCAGCAAATTAGGCCGGAGTTGGCCAGCGAGCGCGCGTGCGCGAGCGCGCATAGACGCCCTCCTTCGCCGCTCCGCTTCGTTGGGGGTCTAGCGCACTGCTCTGCTGTCCCCGACTCTTCCCAGGCTCGCGCCCTCGGGGTAAGTACCTCGCGCTCTGCGGAGAGGGAGGGAGAGGGTCCGCCGAAGGAAAGCAGGAGGTGGACGGGACTGGGAGAAAGGGAAAAACCGCCCTCGCAGAGCGAGGAGCGCGGAAACCGGGTTGGAGTCTGCAGAAGACACGCCTCAATCCCTCACGCCCCTCGGGGCTGCGGAAGTGCTCTGGAGACGAGAGCTGCACGGAGGCGACAGGTGGACTACCTTTCCCAGAAGGCGACGCGGTGCTGCGCCTGCTACTCCCAGCAGCACCTGCGCGCGAGGTTTTTCCAGTTTGCTGCCGCCTAGGGCGAAACTACAGATCCCAGGGGGCCTCGCGCGAAGAGGCTTGGAAGTGGGCAGCCTGGAAGTCACTCGGGCCACCGGGGCTGGCGGCGTCTCCAGCAAACGGCTCGGAGCTGGACGCCTGGGTCGTGGGGCCCGCGGGGCGGGCAACCGGGACTCCAAGGTACGTGGCTCCAGGTGCAGGGGCGGCCTCGCTCAAGGGTGGCGAAACTACAGATCCCAGGGGGCCTCGCGCGAAGAGGCTTGGAAGTGGGCAGCCTGGAAGTCACTCGGGCCACCGGGGCTGGCGGCGTCTCCAGCAAACGGCTCGGAGCTGGACGCCTGGGTCGTGGGGCCCGCGGGGCGGGCAACCGGGACTCCAAGGTACGTGGCTCCAGGTGCAGGGGCGGCCTCGCTCAAGGGTGGCGAGGAATCAGTGTCCACTCGGACCCCGAGGGGCAGCGGGGGGGCGAAACTACAGATCCCAGGGGGCCTCGCGCGAAGAGGCTTGGAAGTGGGCAGCCTGGAAGTCACTCGGGCCACCGGGGCTGGCGGCGTCTCCAGCAAACGGCTCGGAGCTGGACGCCTGGGTCGTGGGGCCCGCGGGGCGGGCAACCGGGACTCCAAGGTACGTGGCTCCAGGTGCAGGGGCGGCCTCGCTCAAGGGTGGCGAGGAATCAGTGTCCACTCGGACCCCGAGGGTCAGCGCGGGCGGGCGACCAGGCGGACGGCCGGGTGCCGGCACCGGTTGTGGGGGCGGCGGCGCCGGGACTCGCGCCCTCGGTATCCGGCTGGACTCGTACCGGCATTGCTCAACTTTCCAGACGTGCTACCTGGCGCTGTGTGGAAGAGCATGGAGTGGGAGTCAGTGTGCGGTGGGTTCGCGTCCTGTCTCTTCCACTCCGGAGCTGTGATCTAGGGAAACCGCGCGGAACCTCAGTTTCCCTTTCGGTAAAACGGGGGAAGGAGAGAGTATCTGTCTTTTGCTGGGGATTCTGTTGAGATATTGAGATCTAGAGAATAAAACATTTGGCACACAGAAGGCTCTTATTACGTGTTTGCGCTATTGTTAGCTCCGGAGAAATGGGGTGAAGGTGTTATCGACCGCGTAGCGTTAGTCGAGGGTGTGTATGTGAAGAGCGGAGTCCATAGCAGTCAGTGCAGGGTGGCTGCTGTTATCTGAAATTATTTTAAGAGCTTTGGTTTTGGAGGAGGAGAGACCCTACTTCAAATTTAGGCTCTGCCGTTTACCAGCTGTGCGACCTTGTGAACTGACTTCAGTCTGTGCCTCCGTTTTCCTATCTATAAAATGGAGATTTTAATAGCAGTCACCTCAGAGTTGTTTTGAGGCTGCAGTGAGGATACTATGTGTAAAGTGCTTAGGAGTAGCAACTGGCATATAGGCAGTGTTCAGTAAACGGTACCATTTATTTAGCGTTTCCCAGTGCCCCAGAGATCCTCCGTGGGTGGGGCTCTGGCTGTACTCTTGTTTTCCCCTGTAAGCCAGACTCAGAACTGGTCTAGTTGACTTCCTCTCCTGCAGCCTCAGGTTCCTCATTTGTAAAGTGGGCCAAGAATATCAGCTTCAGGATTGTAAGGATTTGCTGCGATTGTATTCTCTCACTTAGTAGCAGTTCTTATGTATTATCATTGTTCTTCACTGTTCTCCATCTGGTCCAGAGACTGCCTAACTGTGGGCTGTGACGTGACAACCTTGAGCTCCCCCACATGTTCTGCCCCAGCCTCAGTGTCCCATCTGTGAAATGGTTGTCATGGGACTTTTGTGCCAGGGTTGTTTTGATGATCCCAGGAGATAATTCATGTTTAGTGTTTAGCACAGGGCCCTGTGCATAATAAGCACTTAATAACTGTATCTTGTTTTTCTTGATAGGCCTTTGCTGCTTCCTTACAGGGCAGAGCAGGGACAAGGCTATTGCCTTTCATCCCCATTTTTGTTCACTAAAGTTAAATTGTGGAACATACTGCATTACAAGGGCCTGAGAAGAGATGGTGCTGACCTGCTATCAGCAGCCTCCTGTTCCGTCCATCACACATTCACTTCTGCTCAGGCCGCCAGTACATTCACTCCAGTGCTTTATGTACCATCTCAGCGCTGCCAGCATTTGACTCTGTCTCAAAGCCATATTAGTTTCCTGAACTTCCGCTCTGGAACTGGAACCTGTGGCTCTTTGATGTCCCCTGGTGAGTGTCTCTTGGGCACCGTGAACTCGAACATGTTCAGTATAAATTCCTTCTTCCAGAACCAGTAGGCACCATCTCGGCAAATAGACCAGTGTTGACCCGGTTGCCCAAGCCAGAAATTTGGAAATTGCTCTTCTCTCTCAGTTTTCCCAGGTCCAGTAGATTGGCGAGAAGGATGGAGCTGCCATTTCATAGAAACACCATTTCATTGACCCATCTTGGTTTCCCATCCTGTGGGCGCTGCAAGTCCCCCTTGGCCCCTGGAGGTGGCCTTTTCCAATGACGTTGAATTGTTTCTTTTAGGTCACCAAGGTTTAATGTGTGTAAAACATCGTATTAGGAGCAGAGAAGACAATATAGATTTAGCCAATTTGCAATGGCCACAGGTGTGTCATCAGGGCCTCGCTTTCAGGGGACCCGTTTCTGCGGTTTTAGACTGGCAAAGCTCAGCTGAATTGGTCATTTCTTTCTGAAAAGTCACACCTTGTCAGCGGGTTAGAATATCCTGTATGAGAAGGTGGTCATCCTGACATTTTGGGAAGCAGTGCACACCTGGGAAGAGAGGCTGGGAAGAGAATTTATTAGATCTCCATTTAGGTTGAGTCTGTTGTCAGAAACCTGTCGTCATGGTTTCATTTGGTGATGGGAACCTGTGGCCTCAGTCACATTTGTGATGGCCACCAAATTTAAGTGCTTTTTTTAATCTGAGGAAATAAAACAGTGACTTAAAAAAAATTTTTTTTTGGTCTTAATCGTTAGTGACAACAGCACGTGGTTTTTTTTTAGTAGTCTGTGTGGAATTGTCCAGGAGTTAAATGTGAGCCTGTTTTGCAGTTGTTAGGTGGTAAATCAAAAATGGAATTTAGAATGTGCAGAGATTGGCACCTTTTTTTTTTTTTCTGAAAAACATTCTGTTGATATATTTCAAACAGGTTTAAAATATGACAGGTTATGGTAACAGCTTACCTTGTTATGTGTTTAACTCATAAAACATAAGTTAAATATATTATGTTTTAATAAAATAATTAAACAGTCATTTCTTTTAAAGTGTTTCATTTTAGCTGTTGGAATGAGAGGATATTGGATCAGTTTGTGCTTCTGTACATGCCTTAAGACTGGTATCGCTCCCATTTCTTAGGACTGCTTTGTTCACAGCCCTAATCTGTGTGTGTGAAAATGGGTCGAATTTGGCTTTTAGAAAGTTATGCAAAGAAATACATGCTCGTTGTAATATGTCAAACAATACGGAGATGTATAAGGAAAATAAAGGGTGCCATCCTCTACTCCAAAATCTCATCCTCCAGAGACAACCATTTATTCAGACAGTGAGTATTTATTAAGTGTCTGTCAGGTTTTGGAGATACAAAAGTGAACAAAATGGATATACACTCTACCCTGGGCGATTTGCGTGGATGCCCTCACTTACCTTTTTCTGTGCTTAAATGATTAGATAGATAGATAGATAGATAGATAGATAGATAGTTTTGTTCCTTCCCCCTCACCACTCTCAATAAGAGGTAGGGATCCAGCCACACATATTTATAACTTGAATTTTTTTTTCAATGAATGATAGGACATTTCCCTTCAAGTCTTTACATACAGTTCTGACTCATTCTTTTTAACAGCTAGACTCACATTCTTCAGTATGGAGAGACCATGCTTTATTCCACCATTCTTCTATTGCTGGACATTTAGGTTGGAATTTTACCTTCACAAACACATCCAGTAAACACCCCGGTACATAGGCCATGTAGCAGAGTGGCTCAAAGCATAAAACCCTAGACGGGGAACAAGACAGACATCGTGGCTCTCCTAGAGTCTACATTGTAGCTGAATAAACAATAAACAAAGTAATTTCAGATGGGTTTAAGTATCATGGAGGCAGTGAGGGGAAGAGGCAGGCTGCTGTGAGGAAGGGATGGTTACTTTAGTTTGGGTGGTCAGGCAAGGCCTCCCAGGCCTCTCTGAGTGGGAGTCACGTGAGCTGAGACTTGAATGAGCAAGAGGCACTGGCTTGTGCCAAGAGCTGAGTGAAGAACATTCCAGGCAGAGGGAATAGCAAGTGCAAAGGCTCAGAGGTGAAAAAATGAGTTTGGTACAAAAACAGTATCATTGTAGCTGGAGCAGGGTGAATTCCCATTTTTCAAGTTCGTACTACTTTAATTTTTGTAAAATAATGATAATAATAGCAGCTAATGTTTACCTAGTTTACTCTGTAGTAGGTGTTGTTCTAAGCATTTCACGCTTTTGCTCAGTGAATCCTCACAAGAGTCCAATGAAGTAGGTAAGTTTATTGATCTCACTTTGCAGATGAGAAAGCTGACTCCAGGCTCTAGGCTCTTTGCCCTCGTGCCAAACTCCCTCTCTTCCCAGGCCCTCTTTACTGGGCTGAGACAGATTTAGAAAGTAGAGGCAGCATTTTCTTTCCATGTTGCTTAATGCGCAAAGCCCTTCAGACTGTATCTAGTATCTGATTCATGTGGCAGCAGGCGTGGTCTAGGGATGTTGTGGCATCATTT